CTCCGGAGCACTGGGTTCAGCACCCTGGAGAGCGCAGGGAGATCCCGCCCACCGCGCCCCGCGGCACGCTCCCACGGGCACGCGCGCGGCACCTGACCTGGGGCGGAGCTCCCGGGCCACGCCCCCCACCGTTCTCAGAGATCGGATCCGAGATCTGCAGATCGGGCTGGCTGGGAAACCGGGCCACGGTCCTCTGGCCTCCTGCTGCGTCAGGGGAGGTTCAGCCTGGATATTAGGAGACGTTTCTTCACAGAAAGAGAGGTCAGGCACTGGAACAGGCTGCCCAGGGAGGTGGTGAAGTCACCATCCCTGGAGATGCTCAAAAAACGTGTAGACGCAGCACTTCGGGACGTGGTTTAGCAGGCATGGTGGGGTTGGGTTGACAGTTGGACTTGATGATCTTAGAGGTCTTTTCCAACCTTAACGATTCTATGATTCTGCGATCTGAAGTCACATCTGTGAGCTCCTGTCCTTACTTGCGTTGACTCTCAAATCAGTGATTTACATCATCAAAGAGCGATGGGCGAGTGTGTCCTTGTACACGGTGAGTGCATCCACGGGATGCTGAACGTCACCACGGGAAGCATCTCGGATGCCAAGCAGCGTGCGTGTGAGCGGGGTACCAAGACAGCGCGGGACAGCACGGGGAGTGACAGCACTGTGGGTAAGGAGAACAGTGCTCCCGAATGCTGACCCTGTAAAACGCTTACATATTTCGTGCAATTCATTATTTCAGAATATGGCACCACTTATGAATACTAAAAAACGAAATGCAAGCTCTGAAAACTTGTTCTTTACATTAGTGCTATCTGGTGGTCATTCAGGGCCATGTGTGAAATCATCACATCATCAGAGAGCCAGGCAGAAGATGGACGTGAGCCATTCCGATCAGGGGAGAACCCCCATCTCTTCAGGCCGTATCAGCCCATTTGCCGCCCGCCCCTCACAGTCGGCCACAACAGACAGCTGCCTGTTCCACTTAACTTTCAGCCAAATTCAGTAACAACAACTCCATCCATCGCAGAGTCTAGCTGGAGGCCTGTAACTAGTGGGGCTCCCCAGGGGTCAGTACTCGGCCCAATCCTGTTCAACTTATTCACCAATGACTTGGATGAAAAGTTAGAATGTATCCTCAGCAAATTTGCAGATGACACAAAACTGGGAGGAGTGGTGGATACACCAGAAGGCTGTGCTGCCATCCAGCGAGACCTGGACAGGCTGGAAAGTTGGGTGCAGAGGAACCTGATGAAGTTCAACAAGGGCAAGTGCAGAGTCCTGCACCTGGGGAGGAACAACCCCATGCACCAGTACAGGGTTCTCCTCCCCCTCTACTCTGCCCTAGTGAGGCCCCATCTGCAGTACTGTGTCCAGTTCTGGGCTCCCCAGTTCAAGAAAGATGAGGAGCTACTGGAGAGAGTCCAGCAGAGGGCTACAAGGATGGTGAGGGGACTGGAGCATCTGTCCTACGAGGAGAGGCTGAGGGAGCTGGGCTTGTTCAGCCTGGAGAAGAGAAGGCTGCGAGGGGACCTTATAAATGTTTATAAATATCTAAAGGGTAGGTGTCAAAAGGATGGGGCCAGACTCTTTTCAGTGGTGCCCAGCAACAGGACAAGGGGCAATGGGCACAAACTGAAGCAGAGGAAGCTCCAGCTGAAGATGAGGAAGAACTTCTTCACTCTGAGGGTGACGGAACCCTGGCACAGGCTGCCCAGGGAGGCTGTGGAGTCTCCTTCTCTGGAGATATTCCAGACCCACCTGGACAAGGTCCTGTGCAGCCTGCTCTGGGTGACCCTGCTTCGGCAGGGGGGTTGGACTGGATGACCCACAGAGGTCCCTTCCAACCCCGAACACTGTGATTCTGTGATTCAACAACCAGCAGGGGCTCCAGTGATAGCAGTGCACGGTGCCTTACGAGGTCTCTGTCCAGGAAGAACAGACACAAACAGTGAAGCTTTTCACCGGCTGAGATGAAACCCAGGAACAAAATGTCACCTGTCTTCCCTTGGACCACCATTACGAACAACTCGCCGTTTAAGGGAACATTTCCAAAGCAGACTTAAAAACTTTAGAGGTCATTGGTTATAAACAGCAGATAAATCCTAACACCATAAAGATATGAGAAGAGTGAATGCCTCCTAAGGCTATGTATTTTAAGTCTTTCTCTTGCCAAATTTATAATTGCTGTATGATTTAGGATGAGGAGAGATGAGCAACAGAAAGAATAATTTTTACTCATTAACTCTTTGCTTTTGTGCAATTTCTCTTGTCTGTCACCAGTTCAGTAAAACATCTGTTTTGAAGTGAACAGTGCCCTTATTTCACAAAAGACCTTAGATATTAATTACCTTAAACACTTTAGATATTCATTATCCTTAGACCAGTACATTATTTTTAGGCAAGATTTCATATTCATTATACTTGTAAGAAGGAACATCGTGGTAGGAATGAATCTATAAGTCCATTTTTTCTCACACAAAACATCAGAATTTTCAGAATCTGTATTTCTGAGTTTTGCTCTCATTTTTATGAGTTCTGCTGGGTCAAGAGCAGTGTAATGCTCATTTCTTAATAAATGCATACATTTTCATTTTTTTCTAGTTCAATTTTCAGCATGGATGTCATGTGTTCAGCTTATCATCTTATGTGTGTGTGTGAAAAATCTCAAATAAGCAAATCACTTCTGTGGCTTAACAATCGCTCCACAATCTTTCAGGATGAATTTAACTTTTCCATGAAGAATATATACTGTGTGCCTCAATCTCCTAGCTTTGTATCCTGTTGGTCCTTTACGTTGTCTCCCACTACAAGGAAGGGGGAGATAAAAGCTGGAGAAACAGGTGAAAGAGTTGACAAAGCAGTGTGCTTTCCTCTGTAGGAAGGAACTGTGAAGAGTATTCAATTCCATATCTTTTGCACCACAGTTCGGCCAAATTTCAAGTGCACTAAAACGCTGTGCCAATGCCACCGTGGGCTGTACGTGCTGTGGAAGCGTATGTCTCTCCCACTTGCACAGAGCAGCAACCGGTCTGGTTAACCGTTGTATGGTAAAGACAAAGTAGGGCGCAGCAAAACGGGATCTGATATTCATGAGTTTGAGAGATCCACAGCAGAAAGGAAATAACTCTGGGATGTCATGTCATGTCATGTTGTTTTTGACCTCACTGGGCACAACAATAATCGTGCACTTGTCAGGAAAAAAATGTGACAAAGTAGGCAACCTTGTTAATTATACTGTCATTTCAATAGGCTTTTGGAAAGAAGAGAATTGTTAAACTGAAATATTGAGAATAAAGAGAAATTTATACCACGAGAGTGCTTTTTCTAACTTGGCATTGTATATGCTGATTAAGGAAATTCTGTTTATTGAAAGCTAGCATCATAGGGTCCTGATCCTCTTTGCCACTTCAGGCTCTATTGTAAACCAAGCAATAATTACAATGCATTCCATAAGAGTTATTTTTCACAATGCTGAAGCCAAATTCTGCTGATCTCACGTTATTCTACCCAGAGTTCAAGGCGTGCTTAGTCTTTAAGTTTAGTGCTCTTTAGTAGGTCAGCAGAATTCTTTAATTATAAACATAGTACACCTTCCCAGAAACACACAGTATTTTTAATACCTGGATAAATAAGAATAAAACTGCTAAATATATTGTATGAACTAAAATAACCTGCTACCTCACAGGGCAAAGTATCTGTTGATATGCTTATGTTGCATAAAAGAAAGGCAAAATTACTGCTTGGAATATCGTACCTATTCTAATTGATGAAGGGATATCACATAGCGGTCACAGAGAGCCTTCAAATAATAAGAGACAATATAAATTCTTTTACAGTGAACCTCAACTGTTACTTGATTCCGATCTGCAATTATATTAAGTGTCCTGGCTTTGTTTTATTTGGTTTGTTTAAATCATTAGTGATGCACTGGAGGAGAAGGATACTGTTATTGGTACTGAGGTTGTAACAGAATACCATTAAAAGTGGATGCTTATTACAAGTATATTTTAAAAGATTGATCAAAATATAACTGTTGCTTCAGGAGAGACTTTACATAGGAGCTGTGTGTTGTAACTGAATAAAGAGTTTGGAAAGATGACAATGACCCTTTAACGATAAGTGCAGTTGTACGCTTCCACATTTACATGTATGAGTTTAAAAAATCAGTTAAGCCATTCTGTCAATTTTAGGTAAAGATTACCATAAAGCTTTTTTCTGTAGTCTGTAAGCTCTTTTATACAACCTTTAATCGATTATCAAGCTGATATTAAGGAGACGTAAACTATGCTTGAAATTCTTAAGGTAACAGGTCCACATTACCTTCTCTTTCTGCACTAATCTGGAGTCTGAGGCAGTAACTCTTCTGAAACGATACACCTCATTTCCCAAACTGGAGAACATCCTCATCAAGAAATCTATTTCTTACTTCCATCTCCTGTAATTTTTTAAGGGAATTGTCTATTACTCTCTCTGGCAGTTATAAATTCTTTACTGCTTCTAGGGTATGTAACGTGCAGCGCATACGTGCAACATGACCAGAAAGTCAGGCTTCAGTATTCATAATCTATTCTGCATAGATTTAAACAGCACAATCACAGAAAGAATGGCCAAGTCTCTTCCCCACTGTGTTTCAAGCAATCGAATTCATCCAGCTTGACTTAGCTTTAGTACTGGCAGAAAGGTACACAGCTACGTGGTGATTACTGTGCGACTGCTCTGCGCGCTCAGAATGGTAACCAGGGGTGGGATTCGATCATAGAAGCAAATTCTCTCTTTCACCAATACATTTTTTGCTTATTGAAAGATCAGTGTGAAGTTGAACCTGTTTGGGAAAATTAAAGAGGAACCATAACATTTTGGCTAAAATTGACAAAGATGACAGAGCCCTTGTAAATGCTGGCTTTTCACTAAAAAGATGGGAAAATAAATCACAAAAATGGGCAGGGGAAGGAAAATAATAATAACATAATCTACAATTTAACTTAATTAATTATCCAGCATCTCCAGTACCTTTCTGGTTATCTGAGTTTCTAAACAACGTGTCTGTTACCCCATATGACCTTTTAATCCAAAAAACACAGTTTTGAATACAAATAAAGTGGCTTTAGTTGTAACGTAACTGGAAATGCTTTTAAAAATGTGTGTGCATCTCAAGATAAAGGAAAAACATTTTTATGCTGAAGAAGTATACAAAGAATGTATCCCGAGGTAAATTTGTAAGGTCAGTCTTTGGGTCTGTTGATTTAATGTTAATATATTCGTAAGTGGATCACTATAGTAGTAGTGTTATGAATATCTGTTTAATCTTAACTAGTTTCTCTGTGATAGAGTTAAGCTATTGCTCATGAAAAAGCCATTCAGAGCAGTGTTTAATTATAAAAATACAGCTCACCTTTTTTTAATTATTTTTTTTTTTAGATTCCTGGAAAAGCTTGCCAGGCTGAAAAATGATTAAATAAAAAAATGACTGCAGGCATGTATTAACAGAATTGTAACATCTGCCAAAAATACAGTTGTAAGTAACATCTACAATAAATGGGAATAAAATATTTTAGCTGTGTAGGAATTTTTAATAACTAGTGATGGTGCATAAAAAAATGAAAAATACTGCATTTGTACTGCATTCTTGGTTTTGTCTCATGGTCACTTGTAGGAAAACTGAATCTT